AACTCTGTTTCTACCCAACAGTCATGGACTTGCTGTGCTTTGGTTACGACAAGCATAAGTTTCTCGATCGAGTGAGAACCTGTAAAGGTAAGGTGCTGCCTTTTCAAAAGTGAAGTTAGTGACACAGAATTATCCAAAATTGGAAAATGAACTACATGATACGTAGCATCACAAAGTGACCATAAACTCTCAAGGCAGAGTTTGCTAAATGAAAGGCACACTTGGAAAAAACTAAAAAAATTTTGTTGCAGTTACATTATAAATGACATAAAGTAGTAAAGTTGTGGGAAATGTCTGGCCTGCCATCACTCTCTCACTGGAGATTTGACTAGAAAAGTCACCCTAGTGCTTTGAGTTTGTGTAAAGGTGTATAAACATAAGGTGCCAGGAATTGATTCATTTGAGTCATCAATAAATCTTTGCTCTTGAACTATAGGGGAATACCTGTGTGTAAATTGCTACACATTTTGAAAAGCCAGTGCTGGGACCAAACCCTGTGCCCGTTCTATAGAGCAGCACTCACCCAATGTTGCTTGCAGAGTGTGCATGAGGTTAAGAACTCTAGGCTCTCCCACTCTGTAGCTTGGGACTACAGGCAAAAAAGCCAGCCATCCAATAAAAGTATTTTAGGCAGTAGGTTTTCCATTTTGCTGGTAGGGGAATTGAACAATTAAGTGACTTCCCTACAACTATATGGCCAAAAACAGAATAGAAAGTTGACTTTAGGTTCTCCGTTTATTGAATCATACTGTTTCTTTAAATTCTATAAAAATATTCCAAAAAAATTAAATGTGATACATATCGATTCTTGTATATGGTGACAGAATGAATCACTTTTCTTGTGTACTCTAAGCATGAATTCCTCATTCTAAAAAGGCATGCTGAAGGAGCCTGAAACACATCGGACTTCTCTATGGCCTGGAAGTGGAAAAAGAAAATCTAACAGGCCATGGAGGTTGCCAATGGAAATAACACATAAAGAAACGAGTACACCAAAATAGCAGTTTTCCCGCCCATCATCTTCCACTAGTCCTGTGACAATAGATGAGACCTTGTTACTTGGTGGAATAAAACAGGTAGGGATGATATTCAGTCAGTGCACACCCACAAGTGCAGCCAGGCTGGGTTTTTGTTTGTTTTATGACCTGCGTCTGTTCCGACGGGTGTTGCTGCCAAACTAGGTGTTTCATTTTCAATGTCACCCAGAGAACAGGGGTTAATTAAAGCATAGCAGCGCCAAGCAGGTGAAGTGGCCCAGAGTGTACAGTAGATAACTAGAGAGCACATGTCCTAGTTGAAGTGGACACCTGCTACTCAACCCTAACAGGTTGAAGGCATACAAGAAAATAAGCCCACTGTTGCCAGATTTTCCAATTTTTCTAGAAGCAGTTAGAAATCCAGCTTTTTATACAAAAATCTCCATATTTTAAAATATTTATTCCTAGTTCAATCTTTAAAATGCTGTGTTTGCCAAACAAAACACTTTTCCCGGTCAGATCAGGGCTTAGAGTTGCCAGTTTCCTACTGAGGGTTGTCCGTCTGTGACTGCTGGGATAGTTTCAAGATACAGTTAAGTGTATAAATTGGGTACACTGCCCCAATGGCAGGAGTATGCCATGGCCACAGGCTTTTAGCAATTAGGTATAAATCATAAATATGGGACAAATTTTTTTAAAGTTTACTAATAGCATCAAAAGAGCAGATATTAATAATTGTTTTAGAGATACTTTAAAAAATATCTCAAGTATAATTAGGAAAATTTTTAAACCTTTACTACTGCTAATCATACCTAAGTCTAACTCATATTTTAAATGGAGCTCATGATTGCAATATATATTTTTTCTTCCATTTATTCCTTCCTTTCCTATTTGCAGCTTTTCTTACCTTGAGATATAAGATCATAGGACTTTCACAGTGATGACACAAAATAATATATATAATATGCTTGGAACAATGCCTAGCACATAGTAAGAACTCAAACATTATAAGAAATCTACTGTTACTATGAATATTATTTAGCTGTCAAAGCCCTCGCAGGTCTGGTCTACAACTTGGGGAAAGTTACTCTTACAACTTGGCTGTTAATAAAACTACTTCTTATAGAATCACTTCTGTACCTACCCTCTTTAACAAGCTGTTTTTTAAATTATCCCTTATCAATTTCAGTTCCTCCAAGACAGTTGAGTATCTTTTTCATACCAGAACAAAGAAAAAGGAGGAGAGGTCTCTGTAGGGCATTTTGAAACAAAAGAGATAAGGGCCTCCACCTCTTTTTTTCCCCTAAGAGACAGAGGTAATTTTCCACTTTTTTTCTTTGTGAAATGGACTCATTCTCTCTTTTGAACTACTTAATCCTGGCTGGATGGGTGTGGCTTGAATTCATACACCATACTGCTTATCTAATAATTTCTTGCTACTTAGATGACTTCATATATAATCCAATACACTGTCTCAGTTATTTTAAAAAGCACATTGTCACTTAGTGAAAAGAATATTTTCATACATCTGATAAGGGGTTAATATGCTTACTATATAAGGAACTCAAATAACTTAATAGCAAGAAAACAAAGAACCTGATTTAAAAATGAGCAACAAACCTGGAAAAAACATTTCTCAAAGACATTCAAATGGCCAACAAGTATATGAAAAAATGCTCAACATCACCAAAGAGCAGATAAATGCAAATTAAAACCACCAGGCAATGCTACTTCACACCTGTTAAAATGGCTATTACCAAAAATGACGAACGAGGACAAGTACTGGTGAGGATGTGCAGAAAAGCGAACCTTTATACACTGTTGGTGGGAATGTAAACCAGTACAGCCATTATGGAAAACAGTAAGGTGGTTCCTCAAAAAACTAAAAATAGAGCTACTGTCCGATCCAGCAATCCCACTACTAGGTATATATCTCAAGGAAATGAAATCAGCATATAGAAGAGATATTTGCACTCTCATGTTCGTTGCAGCATTATTCACAAAAGCCAAGAAATGAACTCAATCTAAGTGTCCATCAAAGGATGAATAAAGAAAATGTGGTATATATACACAACGAAATACTATTCAGCCTTAAAAAAGAAATAAATCCTGTCATTTGAAGGATGAACCTGGAATATATTATGTTAAACGAAATAAGCCAGGCATAGAAAGATAAATACTGCATAATCTCACTTACATGTAGAATCTAAAAAAGTCAAATTCATAGAAATAGAGTAGAGGGGTGGTTACCAAGGGCTACAGGGTTGGAGGGTGGGCAAGGATTAGGGAGATATTGGTCAAAGAATACAAAATTTCAGTTAGACATGAGAAATAAGTCCAAGATGATCTATTGTACAACATGGTGACTATAGTTAATAATAATACATATACTCAAAAATTGCTAGAGTAGATTTAAGTATTTTCACCACAAATATGTGAGGTAATGCATATGTTAATTAGCTTGATTTAATTACTCTACAATGTATACATAATTTCGAAACATGTATAATACATGCAATTTCTATTTATCAATAAAACATAAATAAGAAATTTGATCCACAGATTCATAAAATTAGCAAGTAATGAATTTGCATTAAATAAGCAAGATGTTTTATTTCAATTTTGCTATTATTCTCTCCTGAAGTACGGAGTTACCCTAGACATCAGTAAACTACACCCAGTGCCTCCTTCAACATCTAGTTATTTGAAGTTAAGATTCTAAATCTCCTGCCACAGGCACTGCAGGCAAACACCAAACACAGGGAACGACAACTAGATGGCAGGACAAGGGAAATGATCCTTCAGTCATTCTGGGTTTCACAAAGGAGGATCAAGTTGGCAATATCTCAGCACTCCCTAAGGATACAGAATGTCTCAGCGCAACTATTCCCCCTATTAGGGCCCCTTCCTTAAATGCATTAATCTACATGACATCATATTGCAGGTATGTGCTAAGAGATATACAGACATGAACACATGAACAGGAGTAACCCAGACAAAAATAATCTATTCTGTGCATAGGAAAAGTAACTTTTAAAATATTTCACGTAAACAGTAAATGTCTAAATACTCCACCTTCTTTCTTGCTTTAAAAATAAAGCAATTATTTTCCAGTCCAATCAAATGCATTTATGGTACTTTTTTAAAAATTAGGAAAT